AGCACCCTTTTGCTTTGGCAATGCGCATGCCTCGATTTGTTCCAGTTCCTGTTGAGAGGCCAAGTAATTTGAGTTTGTTTAGGGAAAAGCGAGATTTTGGGATCTCTGCTATTATTGTGGGCCTGATAGCCGCCGCCGCGGTTACTGCTTCGGTTACCGCCTCGGCCCTTGCACTTTCCGCCACTTTGCAGACAGCTCAAACCATTAATGAACTATCGGCCACTATGACCATGGCCCTAGATAAACAGGCCACTGCCAATTCTCAGATACAAGGAGGCCTGATGTTGGTAAACCAACGGATTAATTTGGTTCAGGAACAATTGGATATATTATGGCAGATGGCCCAATTGGGATGTGAACAAAAGTTGCCTGGCCTTTGTGTCACTTCAGTACAATATGAGAATTTTACAAGAGCAGCTAACCTGTCAAAAGCTCTGTCTCAACATTTATTACAGAATTGGACTTTTGAGTTTGAGCAGATACTCCGTGAGTTGAGAGTGGCGATCCTGCAAGTGAATTCGACGCGTCTGGATCTTTCTCTGACGGAAGGCCTCTCCTCCTGGATTTCATCTGCATTTTCTTATTTTAAGGAATGGGTGGGGGTGGGATCATTTAGCCTAGTTCTCTGCTGTGGAATAGTGTTGATGCTTTGGATGGTGTGTAAGCTCAGAGCCCAAACAAAAAGAGACAAAGTGGTGGTGGCACAAGCACTTGCTGCCTTAGAACACGGAGCCTCCCCTGACATTTGGTTAACCATGTTAAAGCAATAGGTCGCTGGCCTCCCGGCTCTTGCACCCCACGAGGCTAGTCTCATTGCACGGGATAGAGTGGGTAAGCTTCAGCAGCCCAGGGAGTTGCAAGGCTAAGCACTGCACAGGAGAGGTCTGCGGTATAACGACTTTCTCCTGGGAGATAAGTCATCTTGCATGAAGGTTCTATGTCATGATCTCCTTCCCCCAGAAAAACGACATCGGGACTGGTCAGGGCTGCCTCTGGGGGTAAGACCCTGGAGAGGAGCTTTGTACATGTTCCAAATTTGCACATGGGGATTTGACCTCTATCTCCACTCCAAAGTTGTGGGTGTCCTATGGCTTCAAAAATAAATGACTAGGGGGAGATGTGAGGAGCCGCCCTCGCTATCACTATCGCCATTACAAGATGGCGCCGACATCCGTTGTCAGTTGGAGTAAACAACCTTGGTGCGCATGTGCTAGGTGTTTTTCCACTGCTTAAGCTCTGCCTCTCCCGTGGCGTCATCTGGGGTGATGAGCAAACCACCAATCCTGGCTCTACACGTCTCACTCGGAGCTCCTAGGCTTATATAAGGGGCTGGGTTTCTTAGCTTGGGGTCTCCCCCTCAGAAGCTGATCATCTGTCTCTCAAGATGCATTAAAGCTTTACTGCAGAAGGATCCGAGTGTCCTGTGTCGTTCTTGCTGGCGAGACTGTGGCACAGGACAAAGAGTTGGTTCTTTGAGAAATTCAACAAACTAGACAAACCTTTATCCAAAGGAACCAAAAACACAGAGAGAAGATACCCAAATTAACAAAATCAGAAAGAAAAAGGGGGACATAGCAACAGACACTGAGAAAATCCAGAGAATCCTCAGGTCATACTTCAAAAACCTGTACTCCACAAAATTGGAAAACTTTGAGGAGATGGACAATTTTCTAGATAAGTACCACATACCAGTAGAGTGTAGTTTTACCCACCATTGGCCTGGGCCCTGCCGCTCTGCCTGAACCCCCAAATAACACACAGGACACCATATTAATTATAAAGCTGCTGACTGTTTGCTTGGTTTCTTACTGGCTATCTCTGACTTAAGTATTTAACCCATATTTTTTTTTTTTTACGAGACAGGGTTTTTCTGTATTGTTTTTGAGGCTGTGGGTCCAGCCCAGCCTTGAACTCACAGAGATCCGCCTGCTTCTGCCCCCCCCGAGTGCTGGGATTAAAGGTGTGCGCCACCACTGCCTGGCTTAACCCATAATTGTTAATCTAAGTGTTTCTCTTACCGGAGAAAAGGGTCCGGACCTCTTACTCTGGCAGGCTACATGGTGTCTCTCTCTGCCTCTCTTTCCCAGAATCCTCCTTGACTCCTAGTCCCACCTATCTTGTTTCCCTATTAGCCAACAGTGCTTTATTCAACAACCAATAAGAGAGAGAGATTTACAGGATGACCTCTCCCATCACATACCAAAATTAAATCAAGAACAGGTAAACAACTTAAACACACCAAACCCCCTAAGGAAATAGAAAGTTATCAATAGTCTCCTAACCAAAAAAAAAAGTCCAGGCCCAGATGGTTTTAGTGCGGAATTCTACCAGATGTTCAAAGAAGAGCTAATACCAATGCTCCTCAAATTATTCCACACAACAGAAAAAGAAGGAACATTGCCAAACTCTTTTTATGAGGCTATAGTTACCCTGATACCCAAGCCACACAAAGACACAACTAAGAAAGAGAATTACAGACCAATTTCCCTCATGAACATAGATAGATGCAAAAATAGTAAAATACTGGCAAATAAGAAAAGCCATCCACCATAACCAAGTAGGATTGATCCCAAAGATGCAGGCATGGTTCAACCTACAAAAATCGATTAATGTAATTACCATATAAACTGAGAGAAAAAAACCCACATCATCATCTCATTAAGTCCTTCATAATAAAAGTCTTAAGGAACATATCTAAACATAATAAGGCAATATACAGTAACCCAACATCCAACATCAAACTAAATGGAGAGAAACTCAAAGCAATCTCACCAAAATCAGGAACTAGACAAGGCTGTCCACTCTCTCCATATCTATTCAAGATAGCACTCGAAATTCTAGAAAGAGCAGTAAGACAACAAAAGGAGATCAAGGGATACAAATTGGAAAAAAAGAAGTCAAACTCTCACTATTTGCTGCTGATACGGTAGTTTACATAAGTGACCCCCAAAAATTCTGCCAGAGAACTCCTACAACTGATAAACACCTTCAGTAATGTAGCAGGATACAAGATCAACTTAAAAAAAATCATATGATAAACGGTCTGAGAAAGAAATCAGGGAAAGAACACCCTTTACAACAGCCACAAATAACATAAAATATCATAGTTACTTTAACCAAACAAGTCAAAAACCTGTATGACAAGAACTTCAAGTCTTTAAAGAAAGATATTAAAGGATATACCAGAAAATGGTAAGATCTCCCATGCTCTTAGATAGGTAGCTTCAACATAGTAAAAATGGCAATCCTACCAAATGTAATCTACAGATTCAGTGCAATCCCAGCACAATTCTTCACAGACCTTGAAAGAACAATTCTCAACTTTATAGGAAAAACAAGAAGCCGAGATAACAAAAAAACAAAAAGCCAACAACAACAACAAAAAAGCCTGTAACAATAAAGGGGCTTCCGGAGGCATCACCATTCCTGACTTCAAGCTCTACTATAGAGCTGTAATAATGAAAACAGGTTGGTATTGGCATAAACACAGACAGGTAGACCAATGGAATGCAATCGAAGACCCTGATATCAACCCACACACCTATGAATTGCTAATTTTTTGACAATTGTCTGTAACTCCATCTCCGGGGGAACAACATTCTCACACAGACACACATGAAGACAAAATACCAAAGCACATATAATTAAAATAAAATTTAGAAAAGTTAGAAAACGATCAGAGCTAACTCTTGTTTCACGAAACCTGTTTTCGTCCGTGTACTTACCCATGTGTGTTGAGTCACATGGCAAATTTCCTTTTTTTTTTCCATACTGCTTCCAGTGTGTTGGGTTCTCAAATTTATCTCCATTAATGGAGCAAGGCCAAAGTTGAAAGCCATTGCTCTCTCTTCCCTTTTTTTTAATTCCTGAGGGGGCATCATTACGGAGATCAGGCTGAAGCAGAACTCAAGTCTCCTCGCCCAGGTCTCCAAAGCGCTGAGAGTTACTGGGGCGCACCCCTCCCGGGTCAGGGTCTGGGATCCCTCCCGCCTAGCGTGGACAGGGCCCTCGGGGTCAGTTCCCTGCACCCCGTAAGCCGTCCTCGCTCTCCACAAGCTGTGTGAGGCGGAGTCTCAAAAACAAACTACGGCGAGAGTAGCTGGAGTTAGGTTTACTCATTTACAGCCCTACCGCACAGCGGGGGCGCTCTCTGGGATGCTCGGAGCGCGCTCCTGGGGCAGGGGCAAAGGTGGGGACCCTCGAGGGCGGGGCCTAGGGGGCAGGGCCTCGGGGCGGGGCCTCTCGTGTGAACCTGGGCTTTCGTAGGGCAGGGGCGGCTTGGGGCGGGGCCCGTGGGTGGGGGCGGGGCCTCCTGGGTGAACCTGGGTCTTCGTAGGGCAGGGACGGCTTGGGGCGGGGCCCGCGGGTGGGGGCGGGGCCTCCTGGGTGAACCTGGGTCTTCGTAGGGCAGGGACGGCTTGGGGCGGGGCCCGCGGGTGGGGGCGGGGCCTCTTGTGTGAACCTGGGCTTTCGTAGGGCAGGGGCGGCTTGGGGCGGGGCCGGCGGGTGGGGGCGGGGCCTCCTGGGTGAACCTGGGCTTTCGTAGGGCAGGGACGGCTTGGGGCGGGGCCCGTGGGTGAGGGGCGGGGCCTCTTGGGTGAACCTGGGCCTTCGTGGGGCGGGGCCTACGCGGGGCGGGGGCGGCTTGGGGCGGGGCCTCGGGGGGCGTCGGGGAGGCGTGCTGCGCCGTTGCTGTGAGAACTGTTGACAACAAAAGGCGTGGGCGCGGCGGGGCGGAGGAGGCCGCTCTGTGGGGCGCGGGCCTGCGGAGACCTCCCGGGGCTGTCCGGAGCCGGACGGTGCGCCGCGGGCCCGACGGGCGCGAAGCGGGCAGCGCGCCTGCCTGCGGCGGCCCCTCTGAGAGCCGCGGGCGAGCGGCGGGCGAGCGGCGGGCGGGCAGAGCGGGGTCCTGAGGGAGCAGCCCGGCCAGGGCGCGGGCCGGAGGGGCGGCGGGGCGCGCGAGGTGGGCGTCCCGTGTGCTCTGCCCTCGCGGGGGCAGCCTCGGAGGAGCGGCGGCGGGGCGCGGCGGGGCGCCGAGGGCCGGTGCCCGCCGCTCGCCCGGAGCCGGGTCCGCGCTCACGCTCAGGCTCCTTTATGCCGTCGTGAGATGCTGCGAGCCTCGTCATCGGCTGGGACGCTTCCCTGGGAGAGCCGATAGCCCACCGTCCACAGCCCCTACCCTCCCGAGCGTGGCGCCGCGTCCGGGGACGCCGGTGTTGAGACCCTGTTCCTGGCAAATGACAAGGCAAGACGCCCAGTGCTGACCTCGCGTTTGGTCACTTTTCAAAAGCCCAGTGGCTGTCCCTAAATGTGAGCAGCCAGCTAGAGTTCCCTGCTGTTTGTTTATTTATTTATTTATTTTTAATCTCACGGTGTGGAGGTTTCCGAGGACTAAACTGAATCTGAAAAAATGACTGTTAGGTACAGGCTATGTTATAAAACCTGACTGAATATTGTTTATGAGCCCTTTGCTTATGCATCTTTTTTAAAATGATCCCCGTTGAGTGAGTTTCAGCCGCACGTGGCCACACTTGTCTGCGTTGCCTTCCGAAAAACCAGTGAGCTGAAAGTACTCCAGTTACAGTTGGTGTTTTGTTTTGGTTGGTTGGTTGGCTTTGAGAGAGAGAGAGAGACAGAGACAGAGACAGAGACAGAGACAGAGACAGAGACACAGAGACAGAGAGACAGAGAGATTGATTGATTCTCGGTGTCTCCTGATGACCTGGAACTGACTCTAGACCAGGCTGGCCTCTAACTTGGAGATCCGCCTGCCCCTGCCTCCTAGGTGCTGGGATTAAAGCCGTGTACCACTAGGGCACAGTTAAAAAAATACAGTAGATTTTTTTTATGAGAAGTTTCATTTTTTTTAAACAATTTTTTATGTGTGGGTGAATGTGAGCATATGGAGGTGAGTTCTTTACTTCTTGCATGTGGCTTCCAGAGATCTGATTCAGGTTGTTAGGCCCGTGGCCACAACTGCCTCTGCCAGCTGAGCCATTGCACGGGCCCAGACCTTGACTTTCGCCATATCGAAATGACTTTTGAAAAAAAAAAGTAATCTAATTTGCGTGATGACTGTTGGAAGAGTCACAAGCACTGTACCCCTGAGGTTTTACAGTGCTTTAGGATACACGGGTTTTACCAAATGTATGAGTGCTGCTTTGTGTTCAAGATTTGGTTAGAGTTACTGAAAATGTCATACTATATGCTATCCACTCCACCGCACTGGTTTGCTGACTCTGGGATGTTGCAGACCAAGTGTTTAGTTAGCAGTGTGACGTGAAAGGTCTCTGTTGTGATCCTCTTGGGGTGTCCATTTGTACCATTGCTCAGTTTGTCTTTTAAGGATTAGTATTAATTTATCGTTGTTAACATTTCCATAGCTGTGACCTGTTGTAGCTCACCCCTGTAATGCCCGAGCCGGAGAGGTGGGGGCAACAGGATTGCTGTGAGTTCCAAAGCAGCCTTGGCTACAGAGTGGAACCTGTGTAAAATCAAAATGAGTATTTCCACTCCAAGTATTCATATCATTTGTTGTCTGGCGGTCTTCTAGGTTGGTGATAATCTTAAAAACCATTTTTCCAAAGAATATGCCCCATTCCCAACAGGCGACTGCCTCACACTCCTCAAACAACTGCTCTGGAAAGCAAAAGAGATGCCCAAACCAAACAACCAGCTCAGAGCAAACCAGTGCACCAATGGCCAAAACAGGCGCCCCAGAAAGAACTCCCTGACACACTTGAGGAGGCACTGCCTGTACATTGGGCGAAAGAGGCACCCAACGCCAAACTGGGTGACTCTTCCCGTGAAAGTGGATCATTCTTAGGGACCCCGTACTAAGGCATCAGAAACTGTTAATACAAACAAGGCTGCCACCTCAGAAAGGAGTAACAAATAGTTTATTCTGAAGCCAAAATACGTGTGACCATGGTGGAGTTGCAGAGTCTGGGCCACTGGGTATGCCTGTAGGAGGTTATCCGATGTTAGTTGGTGTAGGAAGACTCCTTTAATTACTTTTTCACATCGTGTGCATGTGTGGACACGTTTATGACAATCAGGACACCTGCGGAAGCCCATTCTTCCCCATGTGGGTTCAGGGATCAAACTCAGTTTGTGAGGCTTGGTGGCAAGTACCTTTAGAGCTGAACCATTTTGCTGTCCTGGGAGACCCATCTTAATTTTGGGAAAGACCATTTCCTGGGCAGGGACTCCAAAGAAAATGGAGAAGGCAAGCCAAGCACCAGCAGGCATGGAATCACGTGATTATTGTCTTCAGCTGCTGCCTAGACTTCCCTGCCAGCAGTTTGTACCGTTACTGCTGCTGTTGATGGGAGGTTTTCACCACGGCGCAGGAGAAGTAACCAAGGCGATGTTTGGAGATGGGAAGACACTTTCCTATTTGTTAGGACTTCTCAAAGTTTCTCATTGTGTGTGTTGGGGTGGGGAGAGTCATGGAGCACAGTGGGAGCGAGAGGGCAGCTCTGTGCGGCTTCACCTGTGCACGTGTTCCAAGGCTTGTGTGTGGAGTGCTCACCTGCTGAGTCATTGCCATAGCCCATAGGTTTGATTGTTTTTGGACCAATTAGTTTAAATCATACCGACACAGAGTAACCCTTAAACCACGTTCATGGTTTAATCCTGATGTTCGTGAGATGAAATGCTATTTTTAATACCTGCAAATATAATACAAATAATTTATTTTAAATTGATTTGCTTATTTTGGTTTTTCAGGACAGCAGTTTTTCTGCATAGGCCTGGCTGTCTTGAAACTCACTCTGTAGAACAGGCTGACCTCGAACTTAGAATTCTGCCTGCCTCTGTCTCCTTAGTGCTAGTGGTGTGCCACCGCCACCTGGCTAAATTTTATTTATGTGTTTGTTTATGTGGATGTGTGTGTGCCTTCATGAGTTTATGTGTACCACGTGTGTGCAGGAACTGGAGTTACAGGCAGGTGTGAGTTCTCTGATGTGGGTGCTGGGAATTAAATCACGTCTTCTGGAAGAGCAGTAAATGTTCTCAGTGCCATTTCAATGCTTTCCCAAATATCTGTTTTTAATATTTTTAGAGCTCTTCAGTTACCTCCTTGCCTGAATTTTTTTTAACTTTTATTTTTATCTTATGTACATTGATGTTTTACCATGGCTGTCAGGTCCTCTGGAACTGGAGCTGTAGACACTTGTGTACTGCTATGAGGGTGCTGGGAATTGAACCCTGGTCCTGCGGAAGAGCAGCCAGTGCTCTTAACTGCTGAGCCATCTCTCCAGCCCCTTGCCTGAATTTTCTAACTCTGTTAGAAATTATTCACTATTTAGATTAGTGAACTAGAAAGCAATGTCACTCTGTAAATGGAATCCTTTGTATTTACCTCTTAACTTTGTAATTAACGGGTGCATGGTCCCCAGTCCCCTCAGTTACTTTGAGGCAAACCTAAATGCTGAATTGTTTCATTATTAAATTGAGCACCTTACAAGTCAGATAAGCTCTTTGTAATTTAATTTTTACTGGTAAAGAATCTGTTCTAAATGACTTTACTTTGAAACATGTGTGGTTTTATTTTCATAAATGGAGCCAGTAATTAAATTATATCTTTCTTTGATATGCAGGAGTCCAGATCTTACATAAAATGGGTGTTTCTTACACTGTTACTGAAAATTAAGTATATAATCTATTCAGTAAAATCCAAGCTGCCATGGAAGAAATACCAGTAAAAGTCGCTGTAAGAATTAGACCTCTGCTTTGCAAGGAAGTTCTTCATAACCATCAAGTGTGTGTGAGGGATGTTCCAAACACCCAGCAGATTATCATTGGGAGAGACAGAGTTTTTACTTTTGATTTTGTTTTTGGCAAAAATTCCACTCAAGATGAAGTTTATAATACATGCATAAAGCCCCTAGTGTTGTCACTCATTGAGGGCTATAATGCAACGGTTTTTGCGTATGGACAAACTGGATCTGGGAAGACGTACACCATTGGAGGAGGCCATGTGGGTAAGATTACTCTCACTTAGCGTTTTACAGCATGTATGAAGACTTTGTTTCTTTTGGTGACTGAGCACTGTTTTATTGGGTGTGATGAACCTTGGCTTGTCTCCTAGTTCAGATGCTGCAAACACTGGGGTACAGCCATCTGTTTGAGTCCGCAATAGACCTTAAATTTTAAGTTTTGTTTTGTGTCTACAGGACTGGAGCTAGAGCTGGGCTGCTGTGCTTGCTGGGTCAGCGCCGTGCTATACGTCCCTAAGCCTTCCTTTTACTTCTTTGTTTCAAGGGGCCACGGTTGCCCATGCTGGCCTTAAATTCACTCTGCAGCTCAAGAAGTAGTCCCTGAAATTATTTCCTTGCCTTAGCCCTCACTAGAGTTGGGTTTGCAAGGATATGTCACCAGGCCCTACCCTGCCATAGCCTTTTAAAATTAGCTTTGGAGGTTAATATACAAATTCATAGGTTTCCTCAGGCATCTTTGTATAGAAAGGGCATATTTTCTTCTCAGTCACTGGCCTCAGTCACCTACCCTCTCACTGCCCCGTTCTCTCTAGCTGATCTCTTTCTTCCTTAGTTAGTTCCCATTTCTGCTCTTATTTCATGTTCCATTACATTGTTTCCCAACTCCTGTTAGATCTCTCCCTTCTCATGATCCCTTTTCTGGTTTTGTGAGCACACATTTGTACATGTATTTTATGTGTGTGTGTGTGTGTGTGTGTGTCCACTCATACTCTTGCAAAAAAAACAGCAATGAGAATAGTCTGTGTAAAATTTCAGACAGTAGACCAGGCAGTGGTGGCACATGCACTCAGGAGGCAGAGGCAGGTGGATCTCTGTGAGTTCCAGGCCAGCCTGGTCTACAGTGTGAGTTCCAGGACAGCCTCCAAAGCTACACAGAGAAACCCTGTCTTGAAAAAACAAACAAACACAAATTCAGACAATAATGCTACTGTTCTACCCTGGTGGCTCTGGCCTCTGCCAGCATGACTTCATGTGTGCCGCAGTCTCTACAAGGACTCCCATGATGGAGTGTGCGATCCCTCTGACCTCATCTCTCCTCCTCTCTGCTCGCTCCCTGCGCTCTGGCCATGCTGACTCTGTGATCACATCAGGCAGTGCCTTCAACACTTGTCCTTCCACTCTCAGGGTTTGCTCATGATCTTCTTATTTAAAATTGCAATTAGGTCTCACTCCAGTCTCTCTACCCTGCCCTCCAAACACTTCCAGTTTCCATTTATTTGGATTGGCTGGTTTATTTACTTTTGAGATAGCCTTGCTCTATAGCCCAGGTTGACTGTGAACTCTCAATACTCCTAGCTCAGCACCCCAATGGAACCTGAGGTGTGCACCACTGTGTGCGACCAGCATTTTAATACACCATTCAGCCTACAGTTCTTTATTCCTACTGATTCTCCTTCTCAGAGTACCCCCACAGTATTAGAGAATTTGTCCTCTGTTTTTTTGGGGGGATTGATTCTTCCCAGAGCCCTAGAATATTGCATGGTATGTAGCAGATACTAAATTTGTTAAATGAATACATTCTGCATGAGGGATACATATGTGTTTGGTATAGTGTACATGGTATGTATACACACGTGTATCACTCTCAACTCTAGTCCCTTGAGACAGGGTCTTTCACTGAATCTGGAGTGATCCTCCTGCCTGTGCCCTCTGGAGTTACAGACACACTTGTGCCATGCCTGACTTTTTACATGGGTGCTGGGGCTGTCACCCCAGGTTCCTGTGCCTATGCAGCAGATGCTCTCTTACCCAATGAGTCATGCCCCGGCCCTTTCCCTTGAGTTTTATGGTTGTATGGGTTAGCCCTGGCAGGCCTTGAACTTGCCATGTAGACCAGGCTGACCTTGCATTCATTAATTCAATTAATTCCCATACATTTTGAGACTGTGTCTTGCTATGTAACCCTGGCTGGAATTCTGTATGTAGGTCAGCCAGGCTGTCTCTGCCCCTGGAGTTCTGGGATTAAAGGTGTGAGCCACCATGCTTGCCCAGTTTTAAATTTTTATAATAGAAATGTAAGAAAAATATGTTAAGCATAAATTTTGGATTATAGTTTTTCCTATATTTCAAGTCTCAGATATTCTTTCTGTTTCTAAATTTTCAGCATCAGTTGTGGAGGGCCAAAAGGGTATCATTCCTCGAGCTATCCAAGAGATATTTCAAAGCATCTCTGAAAACCCTAGCATTGACTTTAAAATCAAAGTGTCATATATAGAAGTGTATAAGGAAGACCTAAGAGATCTTCTAGAGTTGGAGACGTCCATGAAGGACCTTCACATCCGAGAAGATGACAAGGGAAACACAGGTGAATTAACTCAGTGAAATTATTGAATGCCTTCAGTGGCAGTATTCCAAGAATTAAAAATATGTGCACAATAAATTTGCTTTTACTCTTTATTCATATACTTGCTTTGCCATGCTGGAAATCATCTAGCTAAGGAAGTGCTGTGCCAGCAGCCTTCTTTTTTCATTTTTAAATTTAAAAGATTTTGGGACAGAGTCTCACTATAATTCACCTATGCTGGCTTTGAACTTTAACCCTTCTGCCTCAGCCTCATGAGTAGTAAATGGGGTCACAGGTTTGTGTCACCAGACATGGCTCCTGCTTTCTTGTAATAATTACAATCAAAATATTGAAACAAAATATTCTGTCTGCTTTTTGTTATTTTTTTTATTTTTTTATAACTGTAGAGCTTGAAGCCAGGGCCTTCAATGCTCTTTGTACAACTCTCCTGCTGAGCTGTATAATCCCAGCCCCAGAGGTTTTGATTGTTAGTCATTTTAAAGACCTAAGCATGATGTTTGACTAAAAGCACCAATTGGATCTTAACAAATAAAATACATCTTTTAGAGCTTACACTTAATACTGTTTTTTTGTTTGTTTTTGTTTTCTTTTTCTGAGACAAGGTTTTTCTGTAGCGGTGGAGGCTGTCTTGTAACTCACTCTGTAAACCAGGTTGGTCTCGAACTCACAGAGATCCGCCTGCCTCTGCCTCCCAAGTGCTGGGATTAAAGGCGTGCGCCACCACCTGACTGTGAAATTATCTAATGATACTGACTGATGCTGGTATTTGAAACAACATTGCTGCTTTCTTTAAGGGACTATTTGTGTTGCTTAGCAAAGGGTAATTGTTGTGTGGTTAATTTAATTGTGCTGGATTTTGATGAAAACATGGTTTTAAAACTTTGTATTTTAAGTGATTGTTGGGGCCAAAGAATGCCAAGTGGAGAGCGCGGATGAAGTGATGAGTCTCCTGGAGGCAGGGAATGCTGCCAGGCACACCAGCACCACCCAGATGAACGAGCACTCCAGCAGATCCCATGCAATTTTCACAATAAGCATTTGCCAAGTTGAGAAAAACACAGAAGCAGCTGAGAATGGAGAGTGGTATTCACATCGGCATATTGTCTCCAAATTCCATTTTGTGGATTTGGCTGGATCAGAAAGAGTGACCAAAACTGGGAATACTGGTGAACGATTCAAAGAGTCCATTCAAATCAACAGTGGGCTGCTTGCCTTAGGAAACGTAATAAGTGCCCTTGGGGACCCGCGCAGGAAGAGCTCTCATATTCCATACAGGGATGCTAAAATTACCCGTCTTCTGAAAGATTCCCTGGGAGGCAGTGCCAAGACTGTCATGATCACGTGCGTCAGCCCATCCTCCTCAGACTTTGATGAGTCCTTAAATTCTCTCAAATATGCCAACAGAGCACGGAACATTAGAAACAAGCCTACTCTAAACTTTAGCCCTGAGTCAGACCGGATGGATGAGATGGAATTTGAGATTAAGTTGCTTCGAGAAGCTTTGCAGAGCCATCAGGCCAGTATCAGTCAAACTAGCCAGACCCCCTCAGAGGGTGCTTCTGACCACAATCGGATCCATTCTCTAGAGGAACAGGTAGCTCAGCTCCAGGAGGAATGTCTGGGCTACCAGGACTGCATAGAGCAAGCATTCGCCTTCCTAGTGGACTTAAAAGATGCTGTCAGGCTAAACCAGAAACAGCAGCACAAGCTACAGGAATGGTTTAGCAGGACCCAGGAAGTCAGGAAGGCTGTCGTCACCCCATTTCCAGGACACCAGGGTGTTGGGAACCTCGAAGAAGGACCCCAGAATGTGACAGTTCTCCAACTGAAGAGAGAGCTTAAGAAATACCAGGTACTTCACATTACGTAGATTAATTAATGCGATTTTTGAGATGGTGTCTTGCTTTGTAACCCTGGCTGGAAGTCAGTATATAGACCAGCCAGGCTGGCCTGAGCTCTTGCCTTGTTTCTGGGATTATGGGAGTATGTGGTCCTACCTGACTTGCTCTTCCCCACTCTAGTGATAATGGGAATTGAATACAGCCTTGCATATACTAGAAAAGTACTGTACCTTCTGAGATACATTCCCAGATCTATTTTATCTTCTTTGAAATAAGGTCTTACTTGATTATCCAGGCTGGCCTTGAACTCAGGGCAGTTCTCTTGCCTCTGCTTCCTAAGTACTGGGGTTGTGAGTATGAGCTCTCACACCTGGATCATAGACAGAATTTATTTAAGGACTTCACTTATTTGGACAAGTAAATTCTAAAAGCCATTTTGGAATCAGAAGTTCTACATTTTTTAAAAAAATTATTATTACTGTGTGGGTGGTTTGTGAATGGTGAGTGAGGAGTGCAGACATATATTTGTGGAAGTCAGGACAACTTTTGGGGGTGTTTTTCTTTTTTAAGAGTTATGTAAAAATTAGCTGGGCATGTTGGTAGACTTCTTTAATCCCACCACTCAGGAGGCAGAAGCAGGTCAACCTCTGTGAGATCTAGTCCATCCTGGTCTATACAGTGAGATCTAGGCCAGCCAGAGCTACATAGTAAGATCCTGTCTTTAAAAAAAGGGGGGGGATAATATAAACGTCTCATTCTTCCTTGTCATCTCATTGTGACTCATTTCCTATTCCTCCTTAATTTATTCTTTTTTTTTTTTTTTTGGTTTTTCGAGACAGGGTTTCTCTGTGGCTTTGGAGGCTGTCCTGGAACTCGCTTTGTAGACCAGGCTTGGTCTCGAACTCACAGAGATCCACGTGCCTCTGCCTCCCGAGTGCTGGGATTAATGGCGTGCGCCACCAACGCCCGGCAATTTATTCTTTATTAGTTTCCTTCTCTTTCCTGGGATGTGATTAAAGTACATTTTAAGGTATTATGTAATTAAATAGAACCTTGTGAGCTTCCATAGCAACTTAGAGGATCAAAGAAACATTTTTAGACACAAAATTAAGTTACATTGCACTGAGTTTTTCTCCTTTGGGTGTGTATGTTTGCAAACTTCAACCCGGGTCTTGAACTCTCTGTATCACTAAGCTGCATCCTCAAGTCATTTTTTGTTTCCTTATCTTTGAGACAGTCTCATATGATAGCCTAGACTTGCCAGAAACTCCCTTGATAGTCTAGCCTTTTCTGGAACTTGGAGTAATCTTCTGCCTCAGTCTCCCAAGTGTTGGAATTACAGATATGAGTCACAATGGCTGGGTTGCTGGGTCTGTGGTTTCTTTTTGGTTTTTAGACAGGGTATGGAGTAGCCCAGGTTGGCTTCCATCTTGTTAGCTAAGGATGGTCTTGAACTTCTAGTCTTTCTTCGTCTACCTCCCATTGTTGAGATTGTAGGAGTATGTCAACCACACTTAGTTTTTGTAAAGAGAAGCTTTTTCCTTGAGAGAAGCCTTCCCGCCAGCCTGGTTCTAGAGCCGCATCAGTCCCAAATAAACACACAGGAGGCTATATTAATTATGAAGCTGTTGGCCTTGCTTGTTTCTTACTAGCTAGCTCTGACTTAAGTAATTACCCCATAATTGTTAATCTAAGTATGTCTCTTACCGGAGAAGTTTCTGGGCTTCCTACCCCATGGCATTACATCTCGACTCTCTGTGTTTCTCCTTCCCAGAGTCCTCCTGGACTCCTAGTCCCACCTATCTAGATTCCTATTGGCCAGCAGTGCTTTATTGACAAATGCACAGGACTTCCCCCCAACAAGTTTTATTCATTGCTGGAAATCAAATTCAGGGTTTTATGCATGCTAGGCAATCACTCTATCAATTGAATTACATCCCTAGTGTTCCCACCGTGGTTCTTGAAAGAAGAAAATACTTTATCCCTTGAGTTTGGATTACACATTTCTCTTTTGAGACAGGGTTTCTCTGTAAAGTCCTGACTGTCCTGGAACTCACTCTGTAGACCAGAATGACACCAGAATGACCTTGAACCCACAATAATCTGTGTGCCTCTGCCTCCTGGGTGCTGGGATTAAAGGTGTGGTATGTGCCACCTTACCTGTCTACATACTGATTTTTAAACTGTGGGTGGGTATGTACAGTGTGTGTGTGTGTGTGTGTGTGTGTGTGTGCTTAGAGGAAGGTTTGCAGGAATCAGTTTTCTTCTTCCACCGTGTAGATCTGAGGGCTTGACTCACGTCATCAGGCTTAGTGGCACCTTTACCCTCTGAGCCATCTCACTCCCACCTCTCTCTCTCTCTCTTTTTCCAAGACAGAGTTTTGGAACCTGTCCTGGAAATCGCACTGTAGACCAGGCTGGCCTCGAACTCACAGAGATCCGCCTGCCTCTGCTTCCCGAGTGCTGGGATTAAAGCGTGTGCCACCAACGCCCAGCTCCCCGTCTTTTTCAATGAAGATTATGTATAGGAGCTAGCGGAGAACAAGATAAAATCAGTTCTGCTTTTGTGGAGGTGACAAGCACATGCCAGCCAGGGGAGCCTTCAGCTGTTCCTTAAGTAACATGGAGCCCAACTTCATGGTATTGCTGTTTTTTAAAGTTTTTTGAGGTATTTAATTTTTTATTATTTTATCCTTTTATGTATATGAGTGTTTTTGCCTGCATGTGTGTATGTGTCTTTTTAGGATCAATAATTATCCTTTTATGTATATGAGTGTTTTTGCCTGCATGTGTGTATGTGTCTTTTTAGGATCAATAATTTTTCTACCTGCCATTTCTTAATCCATACGCTTCCATCCAAGCACGGACTAGATGAACAAGCTGGGTAGGGCCTGGCTGCTATTGTCTCCCGGACTCTGGATACTGCAGTAGGACAAGCCCAAGACACACTATCTGTACTAAAGCAGGAGGGTTGCAGAGGTGTGGTGACCCAAGCATGTGTGTATGTGTACCTGATGCCCACAGAGGTCAGAAGAGGGCATCGGATCCCCTGGAACTGGAGTTACAAACAGTTCTGGACTGCCTGGGTTCTGGGTATCAAACCCATGTCCTCTAGGAGAGCAGGCAGTGTTCTTAACCCTCTGAGCCCTGTCTCTCCGGCCCTGTTTTTGTTTTTTCTGATGAGGGATCTCTGGTAGCCCAAGGTAGCCTTGGACTTGTAGCTGAGGATGGATCCTCCTGCCTCCACCTCCCGAGTCCTAGAATTACAGGCATGTGCCACCATGCCCATTCCTTTTTTTTTAAAGCAGGAAAACATAATGAAAAACCGTCTTTTTAATTAGAGATTTCAGCAAAATACCTTTTTACATGTGCTAGGAAGAAGCTATTTCAAGCTGGACCCATGGCACATGCTGATGTCTCAGGACTCAGGAGGCTGAAGCAGGAGGATCCAGAGGTGGAAACTGAGCCCTGTCCGAAAATAAACAAAAAAGCTCTTCTCAAATTTTTGGAATTCAGAGGTTTTTTCCACTACTAAAGTCTGTAATCTCCCCATAAATGTTTGCAAACATGGATGGTGTGTGACTTAGTGGTAGAGCACTTGCCTGTGACTTGTGAAGCCCTGGGTTTGATCCCCAGCACTTGGGGACAGCTCAGCAGAACTCTTTGCATTTTGGTAGGTGTCTCTGATATGTGACTTAGTAGAAGATACTTGCATTTTCTTGTGATTAGCAAGATTTCGTCTAAGTTAAAATATATCCTTATGTAGATTTATAATTGGCAGGGATGAGCATTTCAATAACTTTTGAGATAATTGTGGACATTCTTTGAAACTACACCAAAACTTAGTGAAAATTATCCGTTGATTACAAGGAGTGATTTGAAATTATTTTGTTATATTATGATTTATAATTTAGAACTTACTGGTCTCTGCCTTGACCTTTAAGTGAATCTTTTTTCTGCTTATGAGTTTAATGACTATACAGTGGTCATTTGGAAAATAATTTAGTGTTTAAACATTTTTATTTTACATTTCTTAATGCCACCAGTGATCTCACTAGCAGAGTCTTTAGCATTGATGTGGAGCTGTTAGGCTCACAATGGTGCATTACAGGAGGGAGTAATGGTACATGCAAGCGAGTGGGACCAGAGCAGGGCTGAGACCCAGCAAGGAGAACACCAAATCGTGCAGCTTCATCCAGAGCAGGGCTGAGACCCAGCAAGGAGAACACCAAATCGTGCAGCTTCATCCAGAGCAGGGCTGAGACCCAGCAGGGAGAACACCAAATCGTGCAGCTTCATCCAGAGCAGGGCTGAGACCCAGCAAGGAGAACACCAAATCGTGCAGCTTCATCCAGAGCAGGGCTGAGACCCAGCAGGGAGAACACCAAATCGTGCAGCTTCATCCAGAGCAGGGCTGAGACCCAGCAGGGAGAACACCAAATCGTGCAGCTTCATCCAGAGCAGGGCTGAGACCCAGCAGGGAGAACACCAAATCGTGCAGCTTCATCCAGAGCAGGGCTGAGACCCAGCAGGGAGAACACCAAATCGTGCAGCTTCATCCAGAGCAGGGCTGAGACCCAGCAGGGAGAACACCAAATCGTGCAGCTTCATGTCCAGCATCTGGGGCTTTTGGCTTGGGTCACCACACCTCTGCAACCCTCCTGCTTTAGTACAGATAGTGTGTCTTGGACTTGTCCTACTGCAGTATCCAGAGTCCGGGAGACAATAGCAGCCAGGCCCTACCCAGCTTGTTCATCTAGTCCGTGCTTGGATGGAAGCGTATGGATTAAGAAATGGCAAGTAGAAAAATTATTGATCTTAAAAAGACAGAGACATAGGATAGACTTAGAAGGGCACTCCAGTGAATCCTGGGAAAAGCCCCAAGTTTATTACACACAGTCCTTATGTACCCCAATCAAAAGTGGGGGAAGGCAAGAGTTCCTTACCAAGATACAAAGAACAAGCAAACATAATTATCTTCTCAGTACCCAAAACATCAAGCAACCACACCCTAAACTAAATATCCTGTTGTTAAGGTAAGACATCCATTAGTTACTCCTTAGGCCAAATATCCTGTTGTCAAGGCAAGACACACAGTAGCCACACCTTAGCTCAAACATTTTGTGGCCTAACCTTGAGAGAGCAGTAGTGGGTTTGAACTCTCAGATTTTAAGATGAAGGAATTTCATTTCTATGGCTCCTGGCATGCTACTCCTTGTTTATAGCTTTCCTTAATCAGTGTTCCATGGTCCTGGCATCTCCGATATGCTGGGATTCTATTACAATTTAGGCATTGCCAGCCTCTCTGGGATTCCTTGCAGGGAATTCCACACTGCAATACATTGACTAGCCCCGGTAGCCTTCTAGAAACTTTGACCTCCTCCAGGACCTCCTCACTCTTGCATCTGTCTTGCATATGGCATCAGTCTCTCCTGGATAATGCCACCAATGCTGCTGCTAGCTTGAGAGTGGAGCCTGGCTCCTTTGTATTGCAGCTGTGTTCACCTTCTGATGAAACACTGTCCCAGGCAGCTGGTTTTAGAAGGGAACCCCTTCAAGAGCAATATCAGTTTAGGTTCTCTCTTTCAAATGAATTTTCTTTCTTAAAAGATGGAGCTTTTCTTGTGTATAATCTTGCCATCCATGCACATTTCCTGTTGCCTTAGTGCAGAGAACTGGTTTTGATGGTGCCAACCTCTCCAACAGTTACAGCTCTTCTTGTAGCCACCCCATCAATAACTTTCTCCCATTTTTCACCTGCCAAACAATGCACTTTTCTGATGAGTATATGTTCTTGTTGTTTCCTCTCTTACTATAGACCTGGGTAAGAGCAGTGAGTAGTAACTACTCCATATCCTGAATGCTAGCCTGTTTTGAAGTTTTCTTCACCAGTCAAATTAGTTCAGAATGCTTTGTGTTCTGCTTCATGCAAGTTCTCATGGACAGACTGCACCCTAAGTCTTTGTCAGCCTGTAACAGTTCCCATTGGAGTCCTTGTTTCCCTCGGAAGTTTCGTTGACTGAGTCTCCACTGTCCACATTTGTTTTGGTGTTCTGGTCTACCAAACTGCCGCAGAATGGCCCCTTAAGCTCTACATACAGCATTCTAGGGCTTTTCTTTTTTCTTTTTTTGTTTTTCAAGACAGGGTTTCTCTGTATTGCTTTGGAGGCTGTCCTGGAACTCACACTGTAGCCCAGGCTGGCCTCGAACTCACAGGGATCCACCGGCCTCTGCCTCCTGAGATTAAAGGTGTGTGCTACTATTGCTCGGCTTATTCTACTGTTTTTCTACATTAATTTTCAAAACTCTTTCATAGTCCTCTGGCAAGCCAGGTCATGTGATGAGGTTCAACACAGCAGTGGTCCCACTTCTTTTTTGTTTGTTTGTTTGTTTTCAAGACAGGGTTTCTCTGTGATTTTGGAGGCCGTCCTGGAACTTGCGCTTTTAGACCAGGCTGGCCTCAAACTCACAGAGATCCTCCTGCCTCTACATCCGAGTGCTGGGATTAAAGGGGTGAGCCACCAACACCCAGCTTGGTCCCACTTCTTAGTAACAGTTTTTTTCTGTTAAACTTTTCTTGTTGCTGTGACAAAATACCTGTGGCAAGCCGCCTAAGGAAAGAAGGGTTCTCTCTGCTCACGGTTGCAGGGCGCAGCCCATTACGGCACAGCAGCCGTGGTGGCAGGAGCATATAGCTACAAGTCATGTTGCACCTGCTATCTGGAGGAACACAAATGAATTCTGGTGTTCCAAGGGTTTCCTTGTTTTTATCCCCATGCAATGGTACCATCCACCTTTAGAGTGGGTTTCCTCAGGCCTTCATACAAACAACCTTCAAGACCCACCCACGTTTTAAAACCAACCAGCCTGGCTGACAGATTTCTTTGTGTTTATTTAGTTTAAAATGTGTTTACTATATATCTTAAGTTTATGTTAAGCCTAAGAAATAAAGACATTAAACTTTATTTCCAGGTTTTAGTATCTGCTCTTGCTAGTGAAAGTGTTAAAAAAATTCTACAAGGAAACTTTATTTAAATGTCCAAAGTAAGTTTTTATCTTATGGGTCCTATAGGAAAACATGAGAACTTTGATTATTAAAAACACATTAAAATCTCATGACAAGTCTAGCAAAGTTACAAAATCTTACTGATTATACTCTAGAACCTAGATAACTAATTTTTATATACAGACAAAAATTACCAAGAAAATCTTGTTTTCATGGTAATTAATTCTCATGGAATCACAGTGAGAAGCCCCTCTATTTCTGCCTTCCTCAGAAAGAAATCTAGAAAAGTGAAGGGAAAAGGCTAAGCAAACACCAATGACACCGTCAAGCTGTCGTTCTGAGTTTCACATCATGGAGTTCTGCGAGTAACTGAGTTCTGCCTCCCTTCCTTCCCGCGCAGTGTGCCCTGGCTGCCGACCAAGTGCTGCTCACACAGAAGGAGCTGGAGGTGGAGGAGCTGAGGGGCCAGGTGCAGCTCATGGTGCAGGAGAACAAGGGGCACGTGGTGTCCCTGAAAGAAGCACAGAAAGCCAACCGACTGCAGGTAGGGCCCAGTGCACCGCCTCTGTGCTGAGCACCTGGGCGAAGGGAAAAGCGTGTAACTTTACAGAGGGGGGCCTCAGGTAGGTAGCTGTGGACACTGGCAGCTGAAAAACCGTAAGGGAAACCATTTCTGTTGTTAGCCTGGCGTCTGTTTCATAGACAAAGAAAATACTACCTGTGGACTTGATTTACGATTCATGCATTGTCTTGTCTTCAGACCTTGCCATTCACTTTTGTCAAATTATTAGGCAATGTGATATTAGGAACTGCGAACTGCAAGGCAGGACTGGTGGTGGAAAGCAGTGTAAACATCTTACCTAGTTTATGTGAGACCATGGGTTCAGTCTCTCGTGACACATACTCTCTCTCCTCTCCTCAAACCCCAAAGCACAAGGTAATCACAAAATTTAAACTTTCATAATTTGTGATGTTATCCTCTTACACTACACGGGTGATTTGCTCTTTTAGTTAAGTCTTTCAAATTCTCTATCTTGGAATTCCTATGAGTATAACACAGATATACCTGTTTAAAGCCAAGTATGATGGCTCATGCCTTTAACCCCAGCACTCAGGAGGCAGATGCAAGTCGTCTCTGTGAGTTAGACGCCAGCCTGGTCTTCATACGAAGTTCTAGGCCATCCAGGACTACACAGTGAGATCCTGTCTCAAAAACAAAACACAATATTTTGCTCAGACTAGTGAGTGTACTGAAATATTTCTTGCTAATTATGAAAGCTTGGCCTGTAGCTTAGGCTTTTCCCCAACTAGCTCTGATAACGTAATTAACCTGCTTTTATTAATCTAGGTTCTACCATGTGGCTTTTACCTTCTCAGTACAGCACATTCAGCCTGTTGCAAGTCTCGATGGCATCTCTCCGCCTCTCTTCTTCCCAGAGCGCTCTCTCCCCAGGCTTCCTGCCTAGCTATTGGCCATTTAGCCCTTTATTAAACCAGTCAGAAGGCACCTTAGGTAGAGACACATCTTCACATTGTAAACAAATATTCCACAGCAAAGAACCAGGCACAATTAAAATCAAATCAAAGCAAAACACAAACTCCAAAAGTGTGAATAACTCAGCATCCAATATCTAGATTCACTCACAATCATCTGGGCTCCTTCAAGGGGCTCTGGGTCACCTCTCTGGCTCTGCCCTCTGCAGCACACACAGCTGTCTTCTAGGCTCCCCTGGCTCCACTCCACTGCTGCTGCTGTTCTTGGTGGTTGTCCCCTGGTCCTGGCGTCTTCAGACTGCTGGGGTCATCTGGGGCAACTGGGCCGCACTTCACTAATAGACCCCCCTAGGCTCTCCTCATGGGGCCAGGCCTCAGTGTCTCTGCGTGACTCCTTCAGTCCTGGGTCTTCAACTGCCACTGAGGCTGCAGCTTCACCAGTAGCCTCTCCTGACCCCTCACAGTGCCAAGCCTCAGCTGCTCTCCATGACCCCTTCATGCCTTCAAAACCAGGACCACATGGGTGACTCTTAACAATACCTAAGTTCGGCTGCCAGCATGAGGTACAACCCTGGCCACCTTTTTGTAACACAGCTTCTGTGTGCTGACTCTGAAAACACACTTCCCGGAAGATCTCCCCTCAATGATTGATGATGGTCTCTTTTTAATCACCCCTGGTCTCTTAACTCCAGCTGAACAACATCAGTTGTCCCAGTAACTTAAGGTTCTGTTTTAGATAATCACCGCAGACTCTTCAGCTCCAACTGACCAGCGTAATAGACCCTTAATTCAAAATAGAAAAAGGCCCTGATAGAGTATTTAAATTTCTCTCTGAAACTTCATAAGCCAGGCTTCCATTGTCTGCATTGCTCTTAACATTTAATGGCTTTTCTAGCCCCAAGTTCCAAAGTCCATCCACAGTCCTCCCAAAAACATGGTCAGGTCTGTCACAGATACCCACTACTGATATCAACTTCTATCTTAGGGTTTCTTTTTTTCCTTTCTTTCTCTCTTTCTCTCTTTCTCTCTTTCTTTCTTTCTTTCTTTCCTTCTTTCTTTCTTCTTGTTTTTGTTTTGTTTTTTCGAGACAGGGTTTCTCTGTGGCTTTTGAGGCTGTCCTGGAACAAGCTCTTGTAGACCAGGCTGGTCTTGAACTCAGAGATCTGCCTGCCTCTGCCTCCCATGTGCTGGGATTAAAGGTGTGTTCTTTTTAACAAAATCTCAATTGTTCAATTTTACCAATAAACAATTAGGAGCCAGATGCTGGGGTGAAAGCCTGTTAGCCCAGAGAGGCAAGGAAACACGCAGCTGACCTTCCTCTTCATCCCAGGGACTTCTCCTCTCTCCTACTGTCTCACACAAGTCTTCTCAAACTCAGTGTCCCCCACTTCTACTTCCCATGTATCTTCATCTGGCCTCCTGACTCCCCCTTACTCGCTATAGTTTTTTTTTTTCCTTAACCATCCTATGATGTGGGATGTCCTTCTGTATGCTGTGAATATGTGTTGCTTTTATTGGTTGATAAATAAAGCTGTTTTGGCCCATGACAGGGCAGACTATAGTTAGGCAGGAAATCCAAACAGATAGAGAAAGAAAGAAGATGGAGTCAGGAAGATGCCAAGCAAATGATGTGGAAGCAAGATGTGAGGTAACAAGCCACAAGCCTCGTGGTAAAATATAGAATAATAGAAATGGGTTGATTTAACTGTGAGAGCTAGTCAGTAATATGCCTGAGCCATTAGCCGAACAATTATAATTAATATTAAGCCTCTGGGTAATTATTCAGAGGGCAGGAGAAAAATCTCCAATTACAATCCTGTGTTCACTTGCTGTCAGCTGGTTGCTTATTCTGCCTCTTGACCTGTAGTTGACTTTATTTAATCCTGTTTACAGTATTCAAGCATAAAGCTCTAGGATTAAAGGTGTGTGTTAGGGTTGAACCATATCACAACTAGAAAAAGTTTTTTTTTTCAGCAAATAACAAAACCTTCATGTTTATAGTGTGATCAAATATCCTGCATCAGGCCATGGAGGGGTGCTTCTTACTGACTTGCTCCTCATGGCTTGCTCAGCCTGCTTTCTTATACAACCCAGGACCCTCAGCCCAGGGATGGCCCCACCCACCATGGGCTGGGCCCTTCATCAATCCCTAATTTTTTGTTTGTTTATTTTTTTGCTTTTGTTTTTGTAGACAAGGTTTTTCTGTGTAACCCTGACTGTCCTGGAACTCACTTTGTAGACCAGGCTAGCCTTGAACTCACAGAGATCTTCCTGCCTCTGTCTCCCGAGGGCTGTGATTAAAGGCTTGAGTCACCAACGCCTGGCTGGCATGAATCACTAAGAAAAATGACCTACAGATAGATGGCATAAATGCTATAAATATAATGGCATTTTCTCAATTGAGTTTACTTCCTAAAAGGTAACTTTAGCTTATGTCAAGTTGGCATAAGATTAGCCAGCACACTATCTTTGTAAAAAATCACTTGTCTGTAAACACCCTGGCTGTAAGAACTCTGTCCCATTGTTCTGTGTAGCTTACACACCCCACCCCATGGTTTAAATAGACGTACATTCAGTTTTTATGCATGTAGCATGCTGGCTGGATTGAAGTCAGGGTTGTTTAATGTCCCTATCTTCGACCCTATGCTCAGAATTACTTTGGTTACACAGTCTTTGTCGTCCTGTACAGGTTAGTAGTGTTTCTTCTAACTCTGTGAAGGATACTACTGCTATTGGGATTGGAACTACAGTGAATCTATAGACTGCTTAGGGTACTGTGGAGTATTAGTTTTTCCAGGCCAAAAATATAAGAATAAGATCACATTAGGGCTGGAGAGATGGCTCATTAGTTAAGAGTGCTTACTACTCTTGCTGAAGATCTGGGTTTGGTTCCCAGCATCCACAGGGCAGCTCACAGCTGTTTGTAACTCCAGTTCCAGGGAATCTGACACCCTCTAGCCTCCACAGATACCTGTGTACACAGTACATAAATGCATGCAAGAACACATATATGCATATAAATCTTTAAAAGATCACAGTATTTACAAGCATGACTAATTTGATTTCTCCATTTTCTGTAAAAATTTTTAATTTTTTTGTTATTTTATAGGTATAGAATGTATTGTGATCATATTATATCCATCACCCTCTTGCCACTTTCCCACTCTTCTTGATACCTTCCTCTCAACTAGCCTCCCTCCTACTCTCTCCCTCTGTCTCCCTCTCTCTCTCCCGTGTGTGTGTGTGTGTGTGTGTGTGTGTGTGTGTGTGTGTGTGTGTATACTGCACTTGTGCAGGTAGCCACAGCTGCTATGAGTTTGTGGCTTTAATGTGACACAGTATTTGATAGCACTCTTCTCCATTCTCTGGTTCTTGTAATCTTTCTCACCCCTCATCTGTGATGTCCCTGAGCTATGGAGGGTGTGATAAAGATTCCACGTGTAGGGCTGAGCACTCAGCAATCACTAATTCTCGTCACTTTGAGCACTGTGAGCCTCTGCATTGGCTGTCTCTTCTGCTGAAAGGAGCTACTGTTGGGAAGAGAGAGTGTCAGCAGCATATTCTCTCCTAAGGCATTTAACCTCCCCAGCCATAGGCTTTGACCAAGTTGTCAATAGTAAGTGAATTTCTTCCTATGGGGTGTGCCTCAAATCCACTTGTGAACAACTGGTTAACCCAAAACATACTTGCCAGGAAAGTCAGATTGTAGCACCAATGGCTCGCAGCCAGGAAAGACCAGTGTTCCCTCTTCTCTCCTAGCAGCATGCCGGGCACTTGTGACACTATGAGAACGAGGCCACAGGGGCGAAGGTCCACTTCAGTTCTAGCTCGATTTCTCTGTTTTGCAACCCAAGTGTGGTGCCTTCAGCTTTAGGGTCTTCATCTAGTAACCAAGTAACCAAGAGCAGTAGCGGTGAGCTGTGTGGTAGAGAGCCCTCCAAGGGCAGGGTGCAGTATCGCACAGGGATGTCTGCTGACAGAGCCATGGCTTCCTAGGGTCGCAGTTCCACCTCTGCAGGGTCGTTCCTGCATTCAAGCTTCTTACATTAC